GTTGACACTAGAAGTTTCATTGGTTCAGGGACTATCCTTGGTCCACGTGTAAGTCTTGGCGAGTGCGACAGTGACTGGAATTGAGCTAGGCCCGATCGGGAGGGTGCCGAGGTATGAAGTTATCTCTGTACACGGGAGTACATCGCCTAGGCTAGTCGGTCTTTCGAATAATCGCGAACTCGTTCGGGCGCGTCGCGATTTTCTATTAGCTCGCGTGTTTGATATTTCATTCCCTATTGTTATGGGAACTTGAAAATATCTTAGCGTTGCGACAGTAGAGTTTCAGTATACCGAACCGAAATCCCTTTTGTAAGACACGAAATATAATAAAGTGTCAGTAGAGTCATTTTAACTTAATTCGCTCCAAGTTAGATTAGGTTACCTTTGATACGGATAGCGCCAGTAGGCTGCGCCACTAGGGCGCATGTCTGGGTCCCGATGCGTAGTCACCTCCACGTGGTGAGACCTGGTAATTGGTATCGTTCTCCAAAAAATTACTTTTGGGAACGATACCAAGCTAAGAGCTACGCGCAGAGTTTAGGATATTTCTTATCTTCTATGAATTATCAACGCTCTCTTTGAACTTTCTTAATTTTTCGAAATCTTATAGTAAAATTATATTTTTCTCTTTTTTGTAGATTGTTATATGTCAGTCCCATTACATATGGTGCTTGGATTACGCGTAGCTACGCCACTGTCGAGGCTACAGAAACGAGCAATGGCTGCGTGGCGATAAAATCCCGTATACATGTTACCGACGAATAGTTTCTGGATTTAATGGAAATGAAATGATCGCAAATAGAGGCAGGTATGTCCAACCACGATCAATTTGTCTGTGAAGATTTAATTCTTTTATGATCATAGCGATCTAGGCTATTTATCGAAGAAACTATTCCGAATTCTTATAACCCAAGAATTCTTTTCATCGCGGGTTTCTTATCGGAGCCATTGGAATTCCTGTGGCCCCAGATTTCTCATTAAATCCCTAGAATTTCTACGTGCCTGGATTTCTTATTAAAACCCTAGAATTCCGATATGTCTAGATTTCCCATTAAGGTACTAGAATTCTTCCGATCCCAGATTTCTGAATACAAATCCAAGAATACAACCGATAAGAATACATTTCTAATTAACCCACTAGAATTTCCCTAGATTTTAAATTTCTATTAAAACCTTAGACTTTAAACCTAGATTTCTTACAAGGTAACTAGAATTCCAATCATCCTAGAGTTCTTATTAAAACGCTGGATGTTCTACCAGCTCGGAGTCACTAGATTCTCGTCGAATCACTAGAATTCCTGTAACCACAGATTTCTCACTAAAACCCTAGAATTCCACTAACCCGAGGAGACTATTGCAAACCCGAAATTTCTACGATAAATTGATTGAAACTCTGCATTATTTTCAGAATTTTTCACTGATCACGAGAAAATGTAAAAATTATACGAAAAGGGATTACAGAATTTTCCAAGTTTAATATATTTTCCCTAATTTTCCCTGGTGATTCGAAAAGCGAAGGGTGCGTGTACGTGTAGCACCGGTGCGTGCTCGCTGCGTCAAGGTGGATATGGCTTAGGTGAACGATCGATACAGCAGGTGGCAGCACATCGGTTCCCTGCCGTGTTTCCGGTACTCCGATACTCAGCCAGGCTCCAATAACACCAGCACTGTTCCGTTGACAGGCGATTTCGTCGTTTACGAAAATTCGACAATCGATCGGAGCCTGCCTCGTCCAAACCGAAAGTTTCGGAATCGGTCAACGAATCGTCGATAATCGCGGAAAAATCTAAAGGCTAGAAGCCTCGAATATATTTCCAAAGGCTTTCCAAAAGATTTCCAAAAGCCTGGTCCACAATTGCCCACGTATAATTGGCAGAAAGTGGATCATAGTTGAACGAATTTCACTTTAAATTAAATTAAATTCAAATTCAAAAATTAAATTAAATTCAAAACGATTAACTTCATCTTCCACCACCAAGCCTACTATAATAATTGCACGATCGATATTATGAAATTTTAATCTCCCATTTTTCTCCCAATATACGTACAATTAATTCTCCAATATCTATTCCAATTCGCAAATATTCTAACTCCTTTCGTTCACCTACCAGATCAATTTTTATGTAAATTAAGCATAAAATTTTCACAAATTGTCCCACCGAAATCCCGAATTGACGCTATTTCTAACTATTTCTCGTATTTTAAATAAATTCCCAGTTTTTCGTTTTACCGAGTCAATTAATCCAGCAGGTTTACACGACACAACCGCCAAAGGGACCTCTCCCGTTGCCCCAATAAGGATATCTCAATGAACGTTCTACTCACTTTGCGTATGTCTCCTAGATAGTGAATTTCCGGCGAGAGGCCGCCGTGCACGCAGAGGAACTGTCGGTTCATGAGGGCCGCCAGCGGCAGACAGTCGAACGCCTCCATGCAAGCGTCGTACACCCTCTCCGAGTATTTTATTTTACCTGAAAGCACAAAAGCGGGACACGCGTCGTTATTGCACGATCAGCTCGCGATTCACGAGCCGCTAAAACGCGATTCGATACGCTCCATTGTCTCCCCGAGCTTTTTTTTTATTCCGCAGTTTCCTCGTCTGCGAGCTGGATGCTCTTTGTGTCCACGGGTAAACGCGAGTACCGGGGCCGCGGAACGGGGGGAGGAGGGAGGGGTAAAAAGGGCGCGAGGAAAAGTTGCTTTTCGAAATTGACTGGCTGTCGTTCGCCGTGTCGTCGTGAATGGAACGAGGGATCCTTGAGGAAGATCGTCTAGTTCGACGTGGATGGCCGAGAGGACGAGAGATAGGAGGTGAAAGAAATAATTTTTCACACGGTATAATTTCTGCAATACATTTTTCACACGGTATAATTTCTGCAATACATTTTACACGATGTATTTCTTATATTTTTAAATTCTTTAAAATTCTATTCTTGTGGAACTAATTTTTTTTAGAGGGAGCTAGAGGGAGATAGAGAAAGGTAGTGGGAGCTAGAGGGAGCTAGAGGAAGTTAGAGGGAGCTAGAGGAAGTTAGAGGGAGCTAGAGGAAGTTAGAGGGAGCTAGAGGCAGCTAGAGGCAGCTAGAGACTGCTCGCTTAGAGAGAAATAGGGGCAGCTCACTTAGAGGGGGCTAGAGGAAGCTAGAGGAAGTTAGAGGGAGCTAGAGGAAGTTAGAGGGAGCTAGAGGAAGTTAGAGAGAGCTAGAGGAAGTTAGAGAGAGCTAGAGGAAGTTAGAGGGAGCTAGAAGCAGCTAGAGACTGCTCGCTTAGAGAGAAATAGGGGCAGCTCACTTGGAGGGGGCTAGAGGAAGCTAGAGGGAGCTCGCTTAGAGGGAGCTAGAGGAAGCTAGAAGGAACTAGACGGAGCTAGAGGAAGCTAGAAGGAAGCTAGAAGGAACTAGAGGGAGCTAGAGGCAGCTCGTTTAGAGGAAGCTAGAGGCAGCTAGAATTAAAATAGAGGATCCTCAAATTTGGATTTTCCCAATTTTACGACAGGAAGATCGTGTTCTAGAGCCTCTATTTAATTTTCATACGAATAAAAGAGGTAGATAATATTTTTTCAATGGACTTCCGGTTCTCGGTTACTAAGAGGGACTTAGAATTGTAACAGAATATAGCAAAATTCCGATTTTCTGAATTCCCAGTTCAAAATTCGTCAGCGAAGACGAAAAGATAAGATTCCAAGGACTTAGCTACCACGGAGAGCCCAGAAAATCCACTACAATTCTATCAGATACTTCATCAAACGAGCGCGTTAAAAGACACTCGGACCCAACACCTTCCACCCGCAAGATTCGACTCGAGGGTGACTTGACGACCGATTATCGTCGCTATTAAGGGAACGACCGTTTCGTAGGCACTCAAACATTATCTACACCGTTCCCAAGACCAACAAGAGCGTCTCTCTTTACACAATCGAATAAAAAAGGGGACGAGAAACTCGCGCTCAAAGGGAGTCTCGCGCTCTTCGTCAATTACCCAAGATGGCGGACAGAGTCGTGGCTGAGTCCTCCGCGCTGGCTGACACCTTTTTAATGACCATACGTGGACTTTTGTCGGCTGACGGCCACAAAAGGCACGGGACACTTGCAGGAGGCGGAAGGATAGGGAAGACAGGGTTACAAAGGGGAGAAAAGGCTCTGGAGAGCAATGGAGGTGGGCTGCGAGGTAGACGAGATGGGTCTGGGAGACCTCGCGCAGGTTTCCCTGTGCACGTGCGTGGAGACGTCGTAAAAGGAAGGACGGATCCGGGGTTCCATCCACCGAGTACGTGGCCACCCTCTGTCCACGGAGAACAATAAATCCCACTATCGAGGAATTTTCGTTGCCCCGAGTGAAAAGTAAAGGAAGTAAAGGAGGGAAAACTTAGCGCTTCGAGCAGCAGAAAGGGTTCGTTCTTTTCTCGAGCTTCTTGGATTAAGTGTTTCGTACTCTCTGCTCTTTCTTATTCTTTATCTCGTTTCTGCGTTCGTGTAACGCTTTCTCTTGCCTCGAGAGGGAAAATCGAATTACGCCATTTTATATTGGATAACGCGATACGACCCCTAACGTTAAATAATTGCGACATTTCTGTGGTTGTAAAGAAAAATTTCGCGTGTCACGTATTTTTAGCTTCGGACAGTTTAAAGTATCGAACATAATTAACAGCTACTCTGTAAAAAAATTTTTTTCTTATATACATACATCTATATGTGTATATCAATCATGTATATATAATGTATATATCAATACAGGTAGCCCTTCTACAACGTGGCATCCTACAACACGGTTTCACTATAACACGATTCATAAATTGCGATAACCCTCCTACAATACGATTTCGCTCTAACACGATAAGAAAATTGCAAAAATCTTTGTATAACACTGTACTTCTATATGAGCAGTGACGATGAAGAAATTTATTAAATTAAAGTTGCGTTGAATTAAAATAATATTTTTGTTTCTTTTTTGTTTTGTGTTGCACATACATTTATATTTCTAATAAAAATTAAGTTGTTTATGTAGAATTAAAAAAAAAATTGTTTGTAGTAAAATTTGATTAAAATTTGTTTTAGTTTATAACGTAACCCCCCTTTTTGTACTGGCTCTGGATCTCATACACGGTTTCACAAAATACGGAATTTTCTAGGAACCTATCTACCGTGTTATAGAAGGGTTACCTGTATATACATCTCATCCGTTTACATATTTGTATATTTTTTATTTTCTTTTTTATTTGTATTTTTCTTTGTTACCATTAATTTTATACCGTTTTATACCGTGTCATAATTTTCTTACAATTTTTCTAATAGGATAATCCCGTATAAATAAATAAATAAATAAATAAAATAAATAAATAATAAACTCTTCTTATCGACATTCGACCAACTGCATAAATATTTTGAATATATTAATAATAATTATAAAACTGCACGTTTAGTAACCAGCTGACGAAGAAAATAAAGTTTCGACAGATTTATCTAATTTAAAATCAAACCAAACGCAATTAAAATTTAAATTAAAGTTTGATCTACGTTTAGCGAAAAGTCTAAAGATTAGTCTGGGGTCTAATGAAACCTCGGAATAGCCTTAAATTCTGCTAATAAACCATTCTACAGCGACAGCCTCCCATTCTCTCTCGCACAACAGTTCTCTTTACCTTGGCTGCTATTTACTTTCTAAAACAAGCATTCTAAGCAACTAAAACAATCGAACCTAAGACCTCCATTAAAAGAACCATCCGTTACAAACTTCCAAGTGTCTCCCCGACCTCCTCAACTTCCTAAACCCACTAACCGACTTCCGGCCGCTCGGTTCTTCCTCTAAACTTCACCCTCTTATTCCTTCTCATGTTCTCCGCCATCCTAACCTCCGCAGTCGCAAACGAGTCGATTGCACGTCCAAGGACCCGGTTCTCGAGCAAACTCTCGAGATCCACGCGGGAGATCTCGAGTGACAGCCACGAGCAACAATCTGTCCGGCTGCCACGTCGACAAATCTTCGGGATGCCCGTCAGGGGGAGCCTAGAGGGGTCGTTTTATTGACAGGAAATCCTTCTTGTTCGTCAAGTCCTAGAAGTCGATGGCTCAACTCCATGGCTGAACTCGATGACCTCCATTTTCTCCGCAACGACGCTTCGGCAGTCCGTTTGTCCACTCCAAGATCTAACATGTTGGTCCTCAACTTTTTCAAGAGTCATCGAACGCTATTATCGATCGCGGGAAGAATTTTAGGATCGTTGAAATTATCAAATAGGTACCGTTTCCTTCGTGTTCTAAGCTGGATAGTAGGTATAGTAATTTAGGCTCGAAAATCGGGCGCCATTTTCATAATTTCGCATTGACAGAGCAGAGACCTGTCAATCGAACTATATCTCGTCAAATATATTATTAAGGACAGAAAATAATGAACAATTTAGATTAACCTAACACGATAAGGAATAAACCGTGATAAAATTTATATACTGTAGGAGTCCATCGATGTGGGCCCCAATTAGAGGTCCCAAAGTCAATGGGAACACGATAACGAATAAACCGTGATAAAATTTATAAAGTTAGGAACGCAAGAAGAAAAAATTGCAAAAATCTTTGTATAACACTGTACTTCTATATGAGCAGTGACGATGAAGAAATTTATTAAATTAAAGTTGCGTTGAATTAAAATAATATTTTTGTTTCTTTTTTGTTTTGTGTTGCACATACATTTATATTTCTAATAAAAATTAAGTTGTTTATGTAGAATTAAAAAAAAAATTGTTTGTAGTAAAATTTGATTAAAATTTGTTTTAGTTTATAACGTAACCCCCCTTTTTGTACTGGCTCTGGATCTCATACACGGTTTCACAAAATACGGAATTTTCTAGGAACCTATCTACCGTGTTATAGAAGGGTTACCTGTATATACATCTCATCCGTTTACATATTTGTATATTTTTTATTTTCTTTTTTATTTGTATTTTTCTTTGTTACCATTAATTTTATACCGTTTTATACCGTGTCATAATTTTCTTACAATTTTTCTAATAGGATAATCCCGTATAAATAAATAAATAAATAAATAAAATAAATAAATAATAAACTCTTCTTATCGACATTCGACCAACTGCATAAATATTTTGAATATATTAATAATAATTATAAAACTGCACGTTTAGTAACCAGCTGACGAAGAAAATAAAGTTTCGACAGATTTATCTAATTTAAAATCAAACCAAACGCAATTAAAATTTAAATTAAAGTTTGATCTACGTTTAGCGAAAAGTCTAAAGATTAGTCTGGGGTCTAATGAAACCTCGGAATAGCCTTAAATTCTGCTAATAAACCATTCTACAGCGACAGCCTCCCATTCTCTCTCGCACAACAGTTCTCTTTACCTTGGCTGCTATTTACTTTCTAAAACAAGCATTCTAAGCAACTAAAACAATCGAACCTAAGACCTCCATTAAAAGAACCATCCGTTACAAACTTCCAAGTGTCTCCCCGACCTCCTCAACTTCCTAAACCCACTAACCGACTTCCGGCCGCTCGGTTCTTCCTCTAAACTTCACCCTCTTATTCCTTCTCATGTTCTCCGCCATCCTAACCTCCGCAGTCGCAAACGAGTCGATTGCACGTCCAAGGACCCGGTTCTCGAGCAAACTCTCGAGATCCACGCGGGAGATCTCGAGTGACAGCCACGAGCAACAATCTGTCCGGCTGCCACGTCGACAAATCTTCGGGATGCCCGTCAGGGGGAGCCTAGAGGGGTCGTTTTATTGACAGGAAATCCTTCTTGTTCGTCAAGTCCTAGAAGTCGATGGCTCAACTCCATGGCTGAACTCGATGACCTCCATTTTCTCCGCAACGACGCTTCGGCAGTCCGTTTGTCCACTCCAAGATCTAACATGTTGGTCCTCAACTTTTTCAAGAGTCATCGAACGCTATTATCGATCGCGGGAAGAATTTTAGGATCGTTGAAATTATCAAATAGGTACCGTTTCCTTCGTGTTCTAAGCTGGATAGTAGGTATAGTAATTTAGGCTCGAAAATCGGGCGCCATTTTCATAATTTCGCATTGACAGAGCAGAGACCTGTCAATCGAACTATATCTCGTCAAATATATTATTAAGGACAGAAAATAATGAACAATTTAGATTAACCTAACACGATAAGGAATAAACCGTGATAAAATTTATATACTGTAGGAGTCCATCGATGTGGGCCCCAATTAGAGGTCCCAAAGTCAATGGGAACACGATAACGAATAAACCGTGATAAAATTTATAAAGTTAGGAACGCAAGAAGAAAGCCAATATATTGTTTTCACTCTTAGTGGCATCGAGGAGCCCACAGTCAATGGGGGCCTGGTTTACGTTGCGGGGGGCCCACTCTACCATTGATGTGATCGGATTGGTCGCAGGTATCCTCGATATGGCGGTGGTGCTAGAAGGGACGAAAGGAAAAGGAAGGGATGCGTTTCGTCCTGGGCCCACTAGTGGGCCCATCAGTAAGGCTACCTAGCAGGCCCTGTCTCAGACATGGATACTCTTGGAAGGTTTGGAAACTATATATAGGAAACTGAGAGTTCTCGACCTACTTCAAGCAGGCAAGGATAAGAATGATGTCGCCATAATGTCTTTAGGACTTTCCCCCATGATTCGCGGACCACGAACATTTGGACTGGGCCCTGGTAAAGGCGATGAGAGTGGGGGACAGACATCGCGTCCCGTGTACTAGTCTCCGTCGCATAATAAAGCTTACCGTAACTCGAAATAGTGCTTTCGTTCATCGATACTCACGATATTCCTTCGATACAAAATTTCCGAAATGGATATGTCAATAAGTACCAAAGTTTGAACGTGCTTAAAACAGCGATATTCGTAAAATAAAAATATACGAATAAGTTTCCAGCGGGAAGTCGTTTGTTCGTAGCTGATCGTGGATGCGCGATCAGAGCCCGAAGTCATATCGGATCTTGGAAACGACGTGCCTCCTTCCTCCAGCGACGTCGTAATCCTCTGATTCGTACTGATCTATCCCGGAAGCACTCCGGCAACCTCGTTCCGGTTCCTCTTTGCCAACGGAGTCGCGGGTGCGCCGACAGGGCAGGCTCGTTCGTCCATGCCGCGACGGAACTCGCAATCGTTTCGTTCTTGACTTATTTATTCGGGTCAAAAGCTCGCAAATGAGCTTTCTGGAGTGTCTCAGCGCGATGTCTGACTGGCATCAAAAGAAAGTCAAGGGGACGGAACTCGATCTGCTCGTTAATACAACGAGAGAAGCGTGAGCGGGAAAGGAGGCCGAGCTGAGCAGGAGAAGCGTGCACGAGCGTGTCGGAGATGTTACGGGCGGTGTGTAATTAACGGGGCCGGGGAACGAACGTCTTGATTATTATATTCGTCTGTCCCTGTGTGTTCCACGCGTTCGTTCGCGTCAATTGCGCTTTGTCCTCTTAGCGGAGGCCGTCGGGTGTGGTCTCCTCTGTGGCCGAGATGGGACACTCGGGTCGGCGAGGATGACGAAGATAAAGAGGAATTTAGATGTACACTTTGGGTGTACATCTCTGATGACTCACCTAAGGTTCGTCTGCGCTCCGTCCAAAGTAAACATCGCGGCTAAGTGACAGTGACATGTCTAAACTTGTCCAGTAACAAGCGAGCAAGTAACATTCGAGTAGAACACTTGCTATTCTCAACGCTGACATTTCGAGAATTAGCGGAACGAATTCGGCTATTGAACCATCGGTGTGGACGTTTCTGCTTTCGTCTTTCCCTGTCAGGTTTAAAGGGAGTGAATTACAAGCGAGGTGCACTCGAGGCGCAACAGAAGAGAGTTTTGGCAGACTCTTGGGATGTACTAACTCTCTAATATCCAGCTAAAACTCGAGCTTGCACCGCGTTGCTGGCAATAGGTCTATACTCTATCAAATATCTTATCTCGTCAAATATCTATAATTGCGTTGTTGCCAATAGAGCTATACTCTGTCAAATATCATATCTCGTTAAATATCTATAATTGCGTTGCTGCCAATTAGACTATACCTCGTCAAATATCTATAACTGCGTTGCTGCCAATAGAGCTATAGCTTGTCAAATATCTTATCTCGTTAAATATCTATAACTGCGTTGCTACCAATTAGACTGTACCTCGTCAAACATCTATAACTGCGTTGCTGCCAATATGACTATACCTCGTCAAATATCTATAACTGCTTTGATGTCAAGATGAAAGAAACTGGGCCTGATAGACCATAATACCAAGGTTCATCTTCTCTGACGCAATAGTGAAGACACATCACGCCAATTATCGCTATCGACTTGCAGTGTCACGTCTACGAATAGGACCCTGTCGCATCGTCTGACGAAGAAGACGAACAGGCAGACATAGATCCGGAATCTTCAAAAAATTTTTGAATACATTAACACTCTACCCTATATACACAGTGCTTACACGACCCTTCTTTCCCCTCGGAGTGACTAATTACCAATCTCGTCATGGACCTAGTCACTCGTGCCTCCTCGACATCGCGTCTACCAGATATCGACAGACCAAATTGATGACGATCTTCCCTGCCAACTCCTCGCATGGTCATTTGCGGAACACATTCTAGACTTTCACAAGCTTCCATCATTAACTAGCCATTACCATTAAATACATCATCAAGTACCCCATTAAGCAGGCGATTAAGCAGCCTAGGTCACCCGAAGCCTCTCTAACCCGGACCAACTGACACGTACACCTGTGCATCGATTCTCCCAGTGTACTCCTCGCGCGATAATGAAATTACTCGAGTCCAAGTCATCCAGTTTCATTGTCATCCAGAGACAATCCATTGGGCCTTTGACCTTAACCTGGTTCGCGTTCGACACGGTTAAAATCGCGAGCGTAACACGGTGGCGGGTTAACGCGAGCCTCGTAAATACACGTGGCTTGACCCAGTATCGGACAATTTTCCAGGATCGATACGGTTTTCCGCGGGCTGCCTCAGCTGCGCCACGCAGAGAGCCTCGAGATATCGTTGATTGCACGCGGTACCCACTGGGGGATCACGGAATTGCACGGAGGAGTGCTTTCCGGGCTTCCTCTTTGACTCTGGACAAATGGGCCTGCGATTCTAAACGGATCCAGCGATGGCTCCGTCGAATCGTAAACAATTACACGGTTTGTGTCCGATCCGTGGCTATCGGGAAAATGGAGGCTACTGACTTTCGGCGTTCAGAGAAACAGGACGATGGGACGACAGGCTGATGGAGGCTAAACGGAAGAAACGGGGCTTGTAAATTCGTTTATTCGCGGATTATAAATATTCGTTTGGAGAGAAGATGGCGACAAAGAGGCGGAGATGTTGTACTGGTAGAAAAATAAGGAAGAAATTGAGGAAAGTAGCCAGAAGGTTATTTAGAGGCTGAAGATGGCGGCGCTTCGAAGGTAATTTCAAAGAGGTAAACTGGAAATAATAGACGATATTTAAATCCTCTTTTCCTGTATCGTAATAAAAGGAGATCCGTTTGTGGATGGGAAATCGGTTTAGCCGAGCATCGTAATAAAGAATGCGGGATTCCGGACAAAAGGGAAGCACGGGAAACCGGAACCGAATGGCAGACGGAATTCTTTGTGCTCCGAAGGCTGATTTTTATCTCGACGGGTAGCCGTGTATTGGCTTGCGATTTCATAGAAATTTCAACGCGAGAACATCGGGGAAATGGAGCCGTGGGTGAAAAATTCGTCGAAAATCGAGGTCCATCGAGTCCCGTCAAAAGTTATCGAAAAATTGAACAATCCTCGGTCCCAATGGAAAATGCGACAAATCGTGTCGACGTATCTCTCCGATCTCGAAGTGCGGAAAGCTCGGGAACGAAGGTCGAAAATTATCGAACGGGGGAGAAATATCGGTGAGTAACGTTCGAGAACGCTCTGCGAGAAAAAGAGGAAGAGAAAGAAAGAGAAAGAAAGAGAGACTACTTACATTCTTGCTTAAATGTGAAGTATTCCGTGAGATGACGGCACTCGTGGTTACCTCTGAGGAGAAATAGTTTGTTTGGGTAGCACACCTTGAGCGCCCACAGGTACAATACGCACTGCAACAGAGAAGACAGAGAACGTGATTTTCCTTTGAATATTTTAAATATGACATTAGAAACAGATATAAATATTGTAGAGGTAGGGTGTCAATAAAATTGAATTTTCCAGTCAGATTCTATAACATTGCAATGGCTATATATAT